ACGCTTGCTCCCCATGGGATCAATGGACAGAAAAAGCCTACTTTTACAAGTGCATATCATGGCTGAATAAAATCAATCACTCTGAAGCCCAAGTGTGTAACAGATTCCATGGTACAGGCATCATCTGCTCCCCTATGCCAATGCTCATGATTACTTTTAATCTTAGAATAATCTCCGCTCATATTAAAGTAATTGAATATCTACACTTCTACAGGGTAGTGGAAATATGCCAATCGCTCCCTGACTCTTTTACAAGGTCTGTTTTTAATCTACTTGTGTTTTTAGAAGAGTCTTAAGGTAACTGGGAGCTGTGGCTGAGACCATATAACACCGGTTCAAAGTGTTGGTGCTGACCTTTAAAGCCCTAAATGGCCTCGGTCCTGTATACCTGAAGAGCGTCTCCACCCCCATCCACCCCAGACACTGAGACTCCGAGGTCCTTCTGGTGGTTCCCTCCCTGCGACAAGTGAAGTTACAAGGAACCAGACAGAGGGCCTTCTCGGTAGTGCCGGCCGCCCTGTGGAACACCCTCCCAGCAGGTGTCAAGGAGATAAGGAACTAGACAACTTTTAGAAGACATCTGAAGGCAGCCCTGTATCAGGAAGTTTTTAATGTTTGATGTTTTATTCTGTTTTTAGTCCTCTGTTGGGAACTGCCCAGAGTGGCTGGGGAAACCCAGCCATATGGGTGGGGTACAAATAATAAAAAAATTGTTGTTGCTGTTGACTGCCTGAGCTCTTATATCCCAGCCCAATGGCTGAAATCATCTGGAGGAACAGTGTTAGTTGTCTCCCATGTTACAGAAACCAGACTGGCCTCAACCAGAAGTCCAGCATTTGGTGCCACTGGTCTCATGCCCTGGAGGACTCTTCCTGCAGAGATTCAGTAAGAACCATCACTTTTGACTTCCATGCATCTCTTGAATGCCTTTTTATGTGACAGGCCTTTGCAGCTGCTTAATTTTTTGACTAATCTATTTGCCTGAGATTGCTGACCCAACAGCTGTCTGTCCTTTTTCTGCTTGCTGAACCACCTGGTCAACTTTTTCCCTTACCCTCAGCTCTGAGACTCACAAATTAACATAGGAAGGTTCTTTTTATTAAGTCAGACCATTGGTCCAATGGTCCCAATGTCATCTACACTGACTGGCAGCAGCTCTCCGAGGTTCCAGGCATGGGACACTCCTAGCCCCACCTGGAGATGTTTAGGGTTGAACCTGTGACCTTCTGAATACAAAGCAGATGCTCTTCCACTAAGTTATTACCATTCTTACCAGACCATCGGCTGGGTGACGACTGCAGGACCTGCTCCCTTCCAGGGCCCTTTCCAACTGGCCCAGGGGGCGTGGCCCAGGCCCTTATTTGGAACAAACTTTGGGGGAAGTGTGGGAAGTGTTCTGCCATTGCTTCCCTGTTCCAGGTGGTTAATGTGCTTTAAAATGTCCTCAAGCAGTCGGTGGCAATTTAAATTTTTATTTCTTTTTTCCTTTGTTGGGGGTGGGTGGGTGGGATGGATATTTGGTTGGGGATTAATTTTAGTATAATTGTTCTGTTCCTTTTTGTTGTTGTTGTTTTATTGGTTCTGTATAGTTTGTGTTTTGTTTAAAGGGGCGAGATCAGGGCTGCCTGGGAGTGGGGCCCCAGTCGACACGATGGCTGGGACAAGTTCCACAGGGGGGGAAGCACTGGGACATCCGATCTCGGTGATCATGGGCAGGAGGCGGAGTTACGCTAAGACCAGACCATGTCATTACCGAGCAGGCAGGTTTAGTCGTTGTTTGAAGACTATCCCTGCCTCCAGGTCTGGCCTTGACCGGATGGATACTGGAATCAACAGGGGAAACCCACATGACCTGAAGGTGTTGCTGTGTAATGCCAGGTCAATGATGAATAAAACCACTGCCATCCACGACCTGATTGTGGATGGAGGATTTGACCTGGCATGTGTGACAGAGACCTGGTTGGAGGAAGCAGATGGGCCTGTCCTTGCCGCTGCTTGCCCACCAGGTTTCTCTTACGCACAGCAACCCAGGTCATGTGGGCGGGGAGGGGGTTGCTGTGATTTTTAGGAAGTCACTAGCTTGCACCAGGCGTCCTACTGGGAAGATCCAGTTTTCTGAGTGCATGTTCTGGAAGTTGGGCAATAGGGGCAGTACAGGATTCCTTTTGGTGTACCGACCTCCCCGCTGCACCAAGGATTCCCTGTCCGAGCTGCTTCAGGTCGTGGCGGATTTTCTCCTGGAGACACCTAGTTTGGTTGTCCTAGGGGATTTTAACATCCATGCCGACACGACCTTACAAGGGGCCGCTCGGGACTTCGTGGAAAGCATGGCCTCCATGGGGCTGTCCCTGAATAAGTTTGGCCCAACTCATAGTCATGGACATGCCTTAGACCTGGTGTTCACCTCTAGTGACGTGGGTGATCTGACACTAAGTAAAAGTGAAACAAAAGAAGTGCCAGATCACTTCCTGGTGCAACTGGACTTCTCCGCGACCCTTCCCCTCTGCAGGGAGGTGGGACCAATTCGGAAGGTCCGCCCCCGCCACTTAATGGATCCAAATGGTTTCCAGAGAGTGGTAGGGGATGCTTTATCCCATGTTGATGGCCTTTCAGCTGATGCCCTGGTGGCCCGCTGGAATGCGGAGTTAACCAGGGCTATCGACTGTCTGGCTCCGAAGCGCCCTCTCCGATTGCATGAAGCCCGGACAGCCCCGTGGTTTTCTTCAGAGCTGAGGGCGATGAAACAATCGTTGAGACGGCTAGAGCGTCGGTGGCAGAAAACTCACTCCGAATCTGACTGGACACAGGTTAGAGCTCAACGTCGAGCCTACCAAGTGGCGATAGCGACGGCGAAGAAGACTTTCTTCACCGCCTCTATTGCATCTGCAGAAAATAGTAGCAGGAGACTCTTTCAGGTGGTTCGCAATTTAACGGAACCACCTTTACCACCGGGGCCTTGTAAAGACCCCAAGATCTCCTGCAACGATTTTGCAAAGTTTTTTTGCAGATAAAATCACTCATATGCGGAAGGAGCTAGACACCACCGTGGGAGCAGGGCTGGGGCGGGAGAGTGCTAGAGCTCTGTCTGATCAAGTTGCATGGAATCAATTTCAATCCGTTACCCCCCGAGAATGTGGACAGGCTGCTTGGACGTGTGAAACCAACCACCTGTCTCCTTGATCCTTGCCCATCCTGGCTAATAAAAGCAAGCCGGGAAGGGCTGGGCGATGGGCTCTGCGGGGTGGTGAATGCTTCCCTCTGTGAGGGAACATTCCTAGATCTGCTGAAAGAGGCAGTCATTAAACCGCTTCTTAAAAAACCATCTTTAGACCCGGCCAGTATGGCCAACTATCGCCCAGTCTCAAATCTTCCATTCTTGGGCAAGGTGATTGAGCGTGTGGTTGCTGAACAACTCCAGGCACGCCTGGAGGATGCGGACCATTTGGATCCCTTCCAGTCGGGATTCAGGCCTCATCATGGGACTGAAACTGCCTTGGTCGTGCTGGTTGATGATCTCCGGCGAGCTAGGGACAAAGGTGAGAATTGTTTCCTAGTTCTGCTGGATCTCTTAGTGGCCTTTGATACAATCGACCATAACATCCTTCTGGACCGTCTAGAGGGGCTGGGAGCTGGGGGCACTGTTATACAGTGGTTTCGCTCCTTCCTCCTGGGCCGTGTTCAGAAAGTGGGGGGGGGGATGAGTGTTCAGACCCCTGGGCCCTCACTTGTGGGGTGCCTCAGGGTTCCGTCCTCTCCCCCATGCTTTTTAACATCTATATGAAGCCGCTGGGAGAGATAATCGGGGTTTGGACTGGGTGTCCATCAATATGCAGATGATACCCAGCTCTACCTCTCTTTCAAATCAGAACCAGTGAAGGCAGTGAAGGTCCTGTGTGAGTGCCTGGAGGCGGTTGGAGGATGGATGGCGGCTAATGGATTGAGGTTGAATCCTGACAAGACAGAAGTACTGTTTTTGGGGGACAGGGGGGCGGGCTGGTGTGGAGGACTCCCTGGTCCTGAATAGGGTAACTGTGTCCCTGAAGGACCAGGTGTGCAGCCTGGGAGTCATTTTGGACTCACAGCTGTCCATGGAGGCGCAGGTCAATTCTGTATCCAGGGCAGCTGTCTACCAACTCCACCTGGTACGCAGGCTGAGACCCTACCTGCCCGCGGACTGTCTCGCCAGAGTGGTGCATGCTCTAGTTATCTCCCGCTTGGACTACTGCAATGCGCTCTACGTGGGGCTACCTTTGAAGGTGACTCGGAAACTACAACTAATCCAAAATGCGGCAGCTAGACTGGTGACTGGGGGCGGCCGCCGAGACCACATAACACCGGTCTTGAAAGACCTACATTGGCTCCCAGTACGTTTCCGAGCACAATTCAAAGTGCTGGTGTTGACCTTTAAAGCCCTAAATGGCTTTGGCCCAGTATACCTGAAGGAGCGTCTCCACCCCCATCGTTCTGCCCGGACGCTGAGGTCCAGCGCCGAGGGCCTTCTGGTGGTTCCCTCATTGCGGGAAGCAAAGCTACAGGGAACCAGGCAGAGGGCCTTCTCGGTAGTGGCGCCCACTCTGTGGAACGCCATCCCATCAGATGTCAAAGCAATAAATAACTACCTGACATTCAGAAGACATCTTAAGGCAGCCCTGTTCAGGGAAGTTTTTAATCTGTGATATTTTAGTGTATTTTTGGTTTCTATGGAAGCCGCCCAGAGTGGTTGGGGAAACCCAGCCAGATGGGCGGGGTACAAATAATAAATTATTATTATTATTATTATTATTATTATTATTATTATTATTATCCACCTCTTTTACTGTCCTTGGCAGATGTCAGTGTGATTGGGCTATTTCACTCTAGCTGTGGATTCATAGAATCTTATAGAATTGTAGAGTTAGAAGGGACCACAAGGGTCGTGTGTGTGTGTGTGTGTGTGTGTGTGTGTGTGTATGGGAGAGAGAGAGAGAGAATACAGAGCATTACTAAATTCCAGACACTTCTGGAAGTAGCATGTGAGACTAGTGTAGCATGGGAAGCAACACTATTGTTGGGAAAATTGAACCCAATTTCTGACAAACAACAGGCGTTTATTTCTGCTATCAGCAAAACTAGCCCCAGCTCGCAAGTTGACACATTGTGGTTGCTGTTTGGGCCAATTCTTGGAAAGAGCCAGGCAATATCCTCTCCTCCATCTTTCATTTGGGGGTTGGCATTTCAAAGGACTTGGAACGAATGCCAGACAGTTTGGCAAGTCTCTAATTGACTGTTTCAGGGCAGTAAATTAACAGGAGGTCTCCCTGCTTCTCTTTCTGTTGTTTTTCTTCTTAATTTTATCAGGCGGACGGCTGCTTGGCAAAGGGGACCCACATTCTCCTCTGTGTGAATTCTGGGAGTGGGGTAAATACCTCTGGGGAGATATAAACTTAAGTTGCAACAACAGCAAAAAGTAGTTACACAGTGTGACATACTGAAATGAATGTGCAAGCAGTGTGGGCACCAAGAGACTATGTGTTCCAACATCAATGGTGCCAGTCATTTGGCATTAAAATATGCGCCAGCTGCAAAGCCTTGGATCTGGATAAGTCAGAGAGTGCTGGCAGGCTGACAAGGTGCTGCTTTGGAAACATAGGGAGCTGCCTTATATTTAAGTCTGACAATCAATCCCTCTAGCTCAGCATTGTCCCACTGACAGGCAGCAGCTCTCCAGGGGTTCAGATGGGGGACATTCACAGTCTCACCTGGAGATGCCAAGAACTGAACCTGGGACCTTCTGCGTGGGAAACTGATGCTGGGCTGTTGAGCTCAGGCCTTCCCCTTGGACAGAGATTGGCAAATCAGTTAATTCTGGTTTCTCCCACTTTCTCATTTTTCCAATCTTTATCTTAGTTCCTCACATTTTCTTATCAGTTTGCCAATTGTTATTTTTTAAGTCCTCTTGAAATTGGTGCAGTTTTGGGGGTTATATACACAATTTTATACGCAGCACAGGATTCTAAAGACAGGCACAGCAGAGAAAAAAGGAAAAATACACAGCCTACATGAACACAAATTGTGCATTTTAAAATGAGAGTACAGGCATCCCCACACTTACATATCATCAGCTTGCACATGACCACGTATACATGCGGTGCTTGGACATAATTAAAAATGAAAAAAATTCTAACCAGAAATGGTGGGAGAGAGCTGGAAAGTGCATTGTGGCTCGTAAGGAGACCCTTCTGAAGAGCCTGAAGAGGACATCAGTGAGCCAAACATCCAGAAAAAAGAGACTCCAACAGCTACAAAATGGCATGCAGGAGCTCTTGCTGCTGCCACACTACCCTGCACAACAGCTGTTGGACAGGAAGCTATATGTACTGCAGGGAGCTCCTCACTTACGTGCATTTCACTTATGCACATGGGGGCCTGGAATGTAACCCCAACATAAAATCTATGAACGCAGAAGAGAAAATTAAGGGGAGACAAGAAAGCAACCTTCAAATATCTGAAGGGCTGCTGTCATATAGAAGACGTAGCCGGCTTGTTCTCTGTTGTTCCAGAGGGCAGCTCTAGAACCTATGTGTGGAAGTAGAAGGGCAAGATATTTGTACCAACTTTATTAGGAGTAACTTCCTAACAAAAAGCGAATATTTAAAACATAAGAAGAACCCTGATGTATCCTAGACTGGCACACATGACATTTTATTCTAGAATCCATTGAGATGCAGCACTTCACCCCTTATATAGATCACACCCATAGAATAATAGAATCTTAGAGTTGGAAGGGATCCCAAGGGTCCTCTAGTCCAACCCCCTGCAATGCAGGAATAGCAGTTAAAGCATCCATGATAGATGGCCATCCAACCTCAGCATCCAAACCTCCATGGAAGAAGAGTCCATCACCTCTTGTGGGAGTCTGTTCCACTGCCGAACAGCTCTGGCCAAGCTAGTTTCGCAGCATATTTTTGCCCCTAAGAAGCACTTCCTGAGAAGCTGCTTTTATTCTGAGAATGAAAGCTCATTTCAAATTAATTCTGCATTGCCCCTTAGTGTGTCCATTTGAAAGCAGATGCAGGCAGTTCTGCCCAATGACATCGTGGGTGGATGTATACCAAGACTGTAATGACCACTTCCATCTTTATTCACCTGGGCATGTGCAGGGGGCGTAAAGGCATGGATAACCTAATCAAATGGATATCCAGCAACCACACCCATCAATCTAGATGGAAAGCAGCATGTTGAGGAAGAGCATTAATGAGTCCAGACTGAGAAAAACTGAACTATTGTGCTACAAATGGGTTACTGTGTGTGCAGCTCCACTCCCCTAGTGGCCAACCAGATGCTTCTGGGAACTTGAAGGCAGGACCTGAGCACAAGAATCCTCTCCCCTCCTGCAGTTCCCGCCAAATGGTATTCAGAAGCATTACTGCCTCCAACAGTGGAGGTAGAACATAAAGACATCAAGGTTAGTAGCCACCAATAGCCTTACCCTCCATGAACTCCCTAACGGTAAGAGCTGTTCAACAGTGGAGCAAGCTGCCTCAGGGGGGCAGGGGGAAGTTATCCTTCACTGGAGGTATTTCAGCATCTGTAGTCACATCTTTCAGGGATGTTGTACTTGCATCCTCTATTGCATTTTTGTAATTGTTATGCCTAGAGGACATGGAGGCATCAACCCCCCATTTTTTGCCATCTGTTTGGAAGGGCAATTCTATGAAACTAACAGCTGTGAGCACCGTAGAGAATTCGCTTGTCTCCTGACTTTATTTGCTAGTCTTTTTATCAGCTTACTTTTTACTGAATATGTTTGTTTCCCATTCATTGAATTCAATGTGACTTACCTCTAAGTAGACAGGGTTACAATTGCAGCCTTCATGCAGTTGTGCTTCCCTCTCATTGTAGATGTTCCTTTAGATTTCCTGGCCATACATCAAATGCAGGGTGTTCCTTTAAAGACACAAAAGGCATCCAAGTTAATGCAAGCTAGTTTGCAGTACTAGCAGTAGCTTTGATGGAATAATTGATTTATACAAAGCAACTACCCTAAGCAAACTGCATGACACAGGAAAGGCGCATTTGGCTGAGCAAGCAGCCACCATCAGTTGAAATTATGGGCTATGTATACATTTAAAGCAAAACGCTTCCCCACAAAGAATCCCAAGAACTGTAGTTTACCTCTCATAGAACTACAATTCCCAGCACCCATAATAAACTACAGTTCCCTGGATTCTTTAGGGGAAGTAATATGTTGGTGAATATGCAGCCATCCATGATGGGAAGAAGCTGCTTCATCCAAGCGCCATACATAAAGATGATGCACATTGTATTACACAACTTGCAGGTAATTGCCACGTAAAACGGTGTAGGTTGGTTGGTCCTCCCAGGTGTGGTGTATCTGTCTCCCTCATTACAGTGGTACCTTGGTTCTCAAACTTAATCAGTTCTGGAAGTCTGTTCCAAAACCAAAGAGTTCCAAAACCAAGGTGCACTTTCCCATAGACAGTAATGCAAAATGGATTAATCGTTCCAAACTTTTAAAAACAACCTCTAAAACAGCAATTTAACATGAATTTTACTATTTTATGAGACCATTGATCCATAAAATGAAAGCAATAAACAATGTACTGTACTATAAAATAAATAAAACAGTATTGTAGATGATAAAATAGAAATTTTAAAAAAATCTTACCTGCACTGATGATAGTCATTGTTTGGAATTTATTCATTTCCACAGTCACACAATCAATCAATCAATCAATCAGTAGCTGAACTGGGATCCACACAGTCACAAAAACAAATTAACTGAAAAGGCATCAAAACAAAAAACGCAAAATAAATAACAAAAACAACTTCACCAAATGTAAGCTCCAAATATCACCTCAGAACACTGCAATTGGAAATGGAAGGCTTGAATTATAATGGGGAACACACAAATCAGCAGTGCAATAGGAAACACAGGGGGACGCAAATCAGCAGCGCGTTCCTGTTCACCCAGGAATTTGGTGGCTGAAATATTATTGATCCTGGCCTCATTGAAACTTAGACTCAGCTACATTAGGAAAGCAACAGTGATTTGAATGAGCTATAAACATGCAACATCAGATGACGACAGAGAGCAGGAAATTTTAAAACACAATTTTCCATAGATATTTCCCCCTCTCATTTCTGACTTATTTATAGCATTTATTTTCCTGTGTTTAGATCCATCCACTATTACTTATGAGGGTATATGACCATTTTTATTTTTCTGATGTTCTTAATTCCTTTCAGATGTTTTAAATATATTACAATTTTATTTTAATCACATTGTTTTCCTGCTTGACTGTTTTCTGGCCTCGTCCCTTTGGGGAGGAAGGGCAGGATAGAAATTTAATAAGGTCATCATCATCATCATCATGCATGGCTGCATACACATTATACATTTAAAACACATTCAAGGCACATTTCCTCCCTCAAAGAATTCTGGGCACTGTAGTCCACCCCTGCATAGCATTACATCCCATCACCCTTAACAAACTACAGCGCCCCTGATGGCAGGGGTAATTTTTTAAAATATGTTTTAAAGGCGTATTATGTATGCAGCCGAAGTGCCTATTTTGTCAAATGTTTGCCCAAGAATCAGCTAACCCTAACCCTAACCCAAATGGGAATTCCTAAGCATCCGTTGAGCAAAATGCAATACAACCAGATGTATGCACAGTTGTATACACTGATTTCACAAGATCATTTTGCCCTGCTTCCTTGATTCATGCTGAGCATCTACGGAAGGGAATCCCTCATCATTAGACAGGTATGCCAATTGGAGACCACCGTATGCACCTGCGCCCACTGCATTCTACAGGAATGTCTTTCACTGAAGTCCCTCAGGTATCAGCAGCCCTCTCCGCAGTAGCTCAGAGCAGGGCTTTCAGCATGACAGCACCTGCTTGGTGGAAGATGTTCCCTGTTGAGATATGACAGTCGCCCACTCTCTGTGCTTTACAGAAACAACTGAAGACATTTTTGTTTCGACAGGCTTTCTCAGCCGGATAAATAGGTCCCTGTTTCAAGGTGTTCATTTTGCATTGTTTTAAAACTTATCTTCAGGGGAGGTTTGCACTGTTTTCAAAAGGGTTTTAAGCTGTTTCCATATGGTGCCTGTAAATCACCTTGAGGCATCTAAAGAAGGTGATTTATGAAACAAGGAGGGGGAGGAGGAGGAGGAGGCAGAAGAAGAAGAAGAAGAAGAAGAAGAAGAAGAAGAAGAAGAAGAAGAAGAAGAAGAAGAAGCCATAGAACCTAGCCTGTTAAGCATATAGGAACTTATCTTATGTTAGATCACATTTTTAGCCATATTCGCTTTATTTTTATTCCCCTCCCCCCAAATTTTATTTATTTTGTTTAAGTAAGTAGTACAGAAAAAAACAAAACAACAACAAAGAGAGAGAAATATATTGAAAACAATCCAGAAACACTGAAAGTAAATATTACATATCATATAATACTCTCCCCCCCCCACCCATAGCTTCCCTCTGCTACAATTTGACTTCTTAGAATCTCTATTTCCACCTTTATCTTTGCATTCTCCAAATGTATCATTCTTTGTATTTCTTTTATCTCTTCTCTTTTCCAAATCATAGATGTACTTTACATTTTTATTCTAGGCATATTAGCATAATTTCTTAGAATAATATTTTAACATATAATCTTTGAAACATTTCCATTCTTTTTTTAATTTTTGATTTGACTCATATCATATGATTGAGGTTAGCTTTGCCAGTTCTAAATATTCATTTAATTTGCAAATCCACTCCTCTTTTGAGGGCAAGATTTGAGATTTCCATTTAGAAGCAATCACTACCCTGGCTGCCGTAGTTGCATATAGAAAAATTCTTTTTTTCACTTGCGGTATATCTTTCCCTATCAAGCCTAGGAGATATGCCTCTGGTTTTTTAACAATTGGGATTTTCAACATTTCCTCATGTATTACTCCCCAAAATTTCTTAATCTCCTCATAGCCCCACCACATGTGGATTGCTGTTCCTGCTTCTTTGCCACATTTCCAACAGAGGCTGGATTTCAGTTGATAGATTTTGGCCAGCTTAACTGATGTTAAATACCACCTGTGGAACATTTTAACAAAATTTTCTTTAATCGTGTAAGAGGTGGTAAATCTTATATCCTCTCACCATTGCTCTAAGTATATTGTATGTCCAACATCTTGAGCCCATTTGATCGTAGTTTCTTTCATTTCTTCATCCATCAATTCCCACTCAAGTAAAAGATTGTATGTTTTAGACAGTATTTTCTTATTATTTTGTAATATTGTGGTGCTCAGTTTAGAATCCTCTTTTGCAAAACCTTTTTTTAGATGTGAATACACTTCTTAGTTGCAGGTATTGCCATCTATCTGACACATATTGTCGTATCTTCTCATAGGGTTTTATTCTGAGTTTTCCTTGATCTTTCTCCCGTAGTTGTCTATATAATGCCCAGTTTGTTCTCATATTAAGCTTTTTCACAGCATGCGCCTCCACCGTCGAAAGCCACCAGGGGGTTTGTGGTTCCAGTTGCAATTTATATTTGTTCCAGACTTTATATAATGCATTCCTGAGTAAATGATTTGTAAAAACTTTATGGACTTTTGCCTTCCCGTAAATGAGGTATAGCCACATTCACTTTAAACATCCATGGCCTCCACCAAAGAAACCTGCAAGCTGTAGCTTTTTATGGTTGTTAGGAGGGGACTTTGTCCACCTAGTTCAATAGTGACCCTCCAGGGTCTCAGGTAGAGGCCTTTCCTATCCCTTCTATCTGAATCTTTCTTATGCCATGGGTTAATCTGGAACCGTATACATACACAATGTGCAATCTAATCACTGAGCAATGGTTCCTCCTTCCAGCAGGAGTCCTCCCCACTCTCCAACAACCGACAGCACCAACTCGCCAGAATTCCACTAGGCTTTAAGAAGCACTGCAGTGTTTGGTGAAACGTCTTTCTGTGAGTATGAGGAACAGGGCTGTGCATCTCTCTGCTGTCATTAGAGTACCAACTGTGGCTTTTATGGAGGTTCAGCGTGGGCTTTAATTAAAAAAATGTGCAAGCAGGTTATTTCAAGAGAAACAATGACTGTAGACACACACACACACACACACACACAAACAAACAAACAAACAAACACACATCCTCTTCTCTCCCTGGCCAGATCATCACCAATCCATGCCTTTATAACATTAGAACAAAAGATGAGCCCTGCTGGATCAGGCCAATGGCCCATCTAATCATAGAATTACAGAATCTTAGAGTTGGAAGGGCCATTAGTTCAATCCCTTGCAATGCAAGAATCTTAACTAAAGCATTCATGACAGATGACCATCCAACCTAGTTCAGCATACGCTGGCCAAGTAGATGCCCCAATGGGAAGTCCAGATTCCAGAGGCAGAAACAACCTTGTGATCCATCCTGTCTTCAGAGGCATGTTGTCTCTGATGCTAAAGGCATTATTATACAGTGCTTTGAGGACAATTTGGACTCAAAAGAAGAGAGAAGGCTCACCCATACTGTTTAATGTGGATTGTAAGCTTCCTGTTCCTTGATTAATTCTCAGTTGTCCATATAATGTTCTCCTATAAATCACTGCCCAAACTTTCTCCTCCCTCAGTCTGCATTTACTCATTCCTTCCCCTTTTTGGAGTATCCCTGGTAAGAGAAAATCCAGACTGACATAGGGGAACGGGTGGGGAGGCAGTGATTTAGAGGACAACGTCATGTGAACAATGGAGAATTAATAGAGGCACAGGTTTCTTCGTGTCTACATTAAACGACAGTATGGATGAGCAGAGAGAGAGAGCACCAACAGTATCTGAAGTGACCAATCAAACTGATGGTGTCCCCATTCCCCTATAAATAACACAAACCACCAGTCCATAAAACCCAATTGATGGTATCTATACGCCTCCATATTTGACGTATTATTGAGATTTTTCCTTAGGTTTCTCTTCGAGAAAACCCATCCTTCTTCCTCAACAGGCAGAAAAAAAATAGATAAAAAGAGGAGCATCATGAAAGCTTCCAGAGCTGTATCGATCTTGCCTCCCATGTCCAAAGAGAATTGTTTACGTGCAGAGCATCAGAAAGCTCACAATTTTTTTTTATTGTAAATACTCATCTCCCCTGCATAGACACCAAAGAGCTGAGGGTGTCTGTTATTATACTTTCTACCTGAACATCTTGCTTTTCCCTAAAAAGTTTCCAGGCACAAGCAATCTCGACATCTGTTTCAAGGAACTCGGCTGGAAACGCAGTTCCGCGCAGCCAAATTGCTTGTGCTTCTATGGAGGAAATGGCTATTTATTTTATGCTGCCATCTGGGCTCTAAATAGTATCTTTTGTCATTTGCGGCCTTGAGTTTGGTTTTCTCCCCTTTTTCCTTCCTCTCCACCAGATATAAAATGAAATGCTTTCTAAATTAGGTTTGTTGTATACCACACAAACTTTTTTTTTAATGTAAAAAATAAAAAATAAGAAGTGTCATATATTACTTGGGGAGATTGAGTTGGCCATGAGAGTTGGAATCAGCCCACCTCCTTAAACTTTATAAATACCTAGGTATCTGCTGGCTTGCTGAATTACTGTTGTTCTGTATATCTGGTTATTTTAAGCTATGCTAAAATATGGGGCTT